CAAATCTCTTTCTCGGTACCAATTTCATCCACAGAGTTATATGTCTCTGAAATTTGTATGACACGAATCCCATTTGTTTTCCTTTTCAGGTGCCTTGTCTTAAGGACAACTATGCTTATATTTTGCATGACGAGGATACTGGTACAGTTGGGGTGGTTGACCCTTCGGAAGCTGAACCTGTTATCGATTTTTTGAAGAGGAGTGGTCGAAATCTAACATATATATTGAATACACATCATCATTACGATCACACTGGTGGTAATTTGGAATTGAAAGACAGGTACGGTGCAAAGGTAGGAAGATATAACTTCTCTTTTCTGTACTCGTCGTGAAAGGATAACATTTTTAGAGAAAAATGTTGGGATAATCGAAGATTACGTCTTTGGAATGTAGGTGATTGGTTCAGCTGTAGATAGAGACAGAATTCCTGGAATTGATATAGCCTTGAAGGATGGTGACAAATGGATGTTTGCTGGTCATGAAGTCCATGTTATGGATACTCCTGGCCACACAAAAGGTTGTTTATAATTCGCATATCGACTTTCGAAGCTTTGAAATTTCATGTTACCGCTCTGAAGTACTTCAAGATTCGATATATACCTCTTAAGCCTTGTTGTCCTGTATTTTACTTTGTTTCTTCTAACTATCTAAATTCTACTTTGCAGGCCATATCAGCTTATACTTTCCAGGATCACGAGCTATATTTACCGGGGACACCTTGTTTAGCTTATCATGTGGTAAACTCTTTGAAGGTACTCCTAAGCAGGTAAAACACGACATCTCTCTGTCTCTCTCTATCTTCCTGCTTAATTACATTTCTTTTGGAACAAAACGTTAAGGATCAATTCATGTATATAATGTTCTCTGCAACTCGTTTGTTGTGCAGATGCTTGCTTCTCTCCAAAAGATCATATCTTTACCAGATGACACAAGCATATACTGTGGTCATGAATATACACTGGTCTGTTATATTTTTCTTTCTTCGAGTGGTGTTCTAGACATTGTTATTGAAACCTTTAAGTAAAGGGGTCTCAAATGACTTTGATTTGATTTTTGTGCAGAGTAATTCCAAGTTTGCGTTATCGATGGAGCCAAACAACGAGGTACTCCAGTCTTATGCAGCTCATGTTGCAGAGCTCCGTAGCAAGAAATTACCTACGGTACAAAAATAAGATTCATCATTCACCAATGATCCTTTATGCATTTGCTCAGTTTTCCGGGTTAACTTAAGTGTTGATTCTTGTTCTTTTTTTTTTGTTTTGTCAGATTCCGACAACATTGAAGATGGAGAAAGCTTGTAACCCGTTCCTCCGCAGTTCGAATACAGATATTCGTCGGGCTTTAGGCATTTCAGAGACTGCAGATGAAGCAGAAGCTTTGGGGATTATCAGAGAAGCAAAGGATAACTTCAAAGGGTAGGCTTTTTTCGATGTTAAATCTTTGGTTGCATCTGTAGTCCATAAATAAGGTGTGTGTACCCTTTGGTTTGGACTTGTTTTTTTTCCTTGAAAAAAAAAAGAGAAAAAAAGAGAGATATTTTTTACTTTGATGTAAACACTGGAATTAGGTTTTGGTTGATGTTATATTTAAAAAAAAAAAGATAATC